ATATTTGGGAATATTTGGGAATATTTGGGAATATTTGGGAATATTTGGGAATATTTGGGAATATTTGGGAATATTTGGGAATATTTGGGAATATTCCTAAATGCATTCACGATTCAAACATCCGTATTACCCGTTCGAGAATTTTTATATTTGATTGTCGAATTCGGATATCTATTGAGGAATGTATATTTCCGGTTTGGAAATGTGTATTTTCCGGTCGAGATTCGAAAACAGATATTCTCAAATCCAGCGGATTTGAAGAATAGATATTCCCGACTCTAGACTTCATGTTCTCGATTCGGGGGAATATATTCTCAATTCCAGGATTTGACGTCCTGAATCGCGAATTCCTATTCTCTATTCGGGGATTTCTATTCTCCATTTGGGAATTCATATTCTCCATTCAGGAATTCCTATTCTCCATTCGATAATTCATATTCTCCATTCGATAATTCATATTCTCTTCCGCTTTATTAATTTATTCAATCCGAGAATGAGGTAAACAGGAATCGAGTTGTTTTTCTGTTTCAACTCTAATTAAACTAACAACATCATACTTGATAATTGAATCCCTTAAAAAACGACTTAACTCTTTCATGGCGTTGAAAATCAAATATGTTAATGCCATACACAGAAAACAATTTGCAATTCTTTCTCTAAATCCTAGAATTTGCAAGTTGCAACTCACATCCGGACAGAGTCTATTAGAAACAGTTGAATTGCAAATAAAATTCTCCACAGAATACCAACATTAAAAACAATGAGTTATCATGATAATACATTTCAGACAATTTTTTAAAACAAATATTTTTATTTGCACTCTATCCCGATCCAAGCAATGAATATCACTTTTCAGAATTTAAATAGAACTTAAATTTATATTCTATTTCTCCACCAGCTCAATTAGTTGACGCAATGACTTTTACACGAAAGCTATTATATTTAAATTCTTACTTTTTACTTTTCCATTTCCTCCATGAATTTCAGCAATTGACCGAAAAATACTTCCGAACTACAATAGACTTACGTAAAAATGGGTCTCGTACGGATAAAAATTCCCATAAATCATTGAACGTTTCCACTCGTGAGATAGCACGCGTGTCTTTATCACTCGTGCACACATTTAAATCAGTGGCAAGACTATTCCCTTGGCGACTGCATATACTCAGTATTTATACAGGCGTAAATCACTGATAACCAACTGTAAATTAGAGTATTACTGGTTTTAATATTGGTCTACGTATAGTATGAACCCATCTCTGTAATATCAAGGTTGTTCTCTGGTGGAATAACAATTAAATTCCAATTGATGGTAAAATACAAATATATTTTGAGAGCGTACCATTCGATTACACCTCAAACGTAACATTTCGTCGATTGTTTCGTTACTCCATCGAACTTTTCCTTACGCAACGCTCTAAAACGTCCTAGGTAGCCGCAATCGTCGTCTCTGCACTTTCCTGTCAGTATAGCTCGTTGTAAAATGCCTCGAGATTATTTAGGAATATTCCCTTTTTTTTTTTAATCCAGGTGTAACGAAAAGTCTCACCGTTTTTCGCCGCATAGCTCAACCTATGAAAATCATTTTTCATCATCATAATGTAGATGTAAACTAATATTTTCAACAATTGTCAGTTGAAAATTTATATACATCACGTGTTTATATAGATTTTTAATCATTTTTAATGTTTTGAGTCATCTTTTTGGTGAAAATTCATTTTTATCTAATTAAATTATTTAATTTCATCTTTATACTTAATCCTAGTACATTCTATTTTCAATTAATATCCATGAAAGATTGATTATCCCATGGTTTTAATAACAATTATGAATAAACTAGGAACAAATATAAAATATACTTAATTCAAATATTTATTTTTCTCCGTGCAGTTCCGATAATTTCATTTATATGTTTCATCTTTTATAGATATAGAATGAAAATTTCGGAAAAGTAAATCAAACATTAAACAGAAATTTTTATTTCTCCGATAAATCTTACAATAAACATTTCCCCGTGATGAATGAATTCAAAAGTATTGTCATGATGTTCATCACGTTGACATCAGGTGTCCACAATGAAAAATTATGATTATTAATGACGAGTTGGAAATTTTCGATATAATTTATACGAACAGATAATGGGATAATGGGATAATGAGATTAACCCCGCAATGGCAGCATTAAAAAAACGCTAAATATAATGACATTGTAAATCTGCACCTGCGAAGTCCAGAGAAATGTCAAGAGACTCCAGTAAATAAAGTCTGGAGATTTTTCAAGGTCCTTCGACACACGGAAGGACATTCCCCATCATTTAACACAACCTAGAGTGACAAGTCCATTACCACCCAGGAATGGAGAAGCCCAGAATATTTCATTGTATTCTACTAAAAATCCAAAGAAAAGCTGAAAAAAAAAATCACTGATTTCCATAATATGCACGGATGTTTATATTTGTACAGGATGAAACTGCAAACGTTGACACGTGTCGGTAATTAATTCTGATTAATCCCCACGTGTTGTATTTCCGGTAATTGGACAGTAATTTTTCGTAATTGTTCTCGCACCTTCACAATTTGGACATGAATCAACTTGTCGCTATATCGAGTAACGCAAACGCTCTTGGACAAAGTGTTGACTTGCGTAACTTTATGTACCTGTGGCCCCCTTTTTCCACAGCACTAATGTATACAGTTTTCGCAATTGTTGAGTATTTCGCTTGCTCGACGCGTTTTTCGGACGATTCGTACAGTGATTCGTTGAGGAAAACAATATTGTGTCACTTTGCAATTGTGTAGAGTCACCCACGTGGTCAGGTCTAAACATTGTCATCGAGTTCATCAATAAGTCCCCGGTGTTTTCCCTTTTTAAAAAATCTACATAAAACGAAAAGTGTTCGAAGAAAAGTTTTCAATAATTATACATGTATATGTATTATAATTACAGAAAGATAATCCAATCAGACATATAGACATTTTCTAAAAAGTCCAGTTCGATTTGTTTTATAAAATTTAATTTCTTAGATTGAATTAAGTCCATTGGGTATGTGGTCTCATTACAGTATGAAGACTATATTGAATATATATTGTTGAAAATTTATTTATCGAATTCATCGTTTTGCATGCATATCCATATGATGTTTATAGATGTGCAAAGTGCGCTCCGAATGCTAGTTGTCATATATTTCCATGACAATGAATGTCTAATGCAATTCATCACTCATCGATAATTTGGTATTTTTTGTACATCATCGATGGTTCATTAATAAAAGAGTTTGACAGAGAGGAGGAAAACAAAGAGGTCGGGTTAAATCAATGCATACTGCATTAAAAATCAAGTGCATCCGTCCACTCTGTCAAATCTTTCTTCGTGTCAGCTGAAAAATATGATCCTACATCTACCCACGTCAACTACGTACCACACAATTGTTATTTTTCATAATGACAACAAAATTTTTTATTTGCGAAATTGTGAGCCGATGTGGGTCAATCTCCCGTTGACAGGTCTTAATCAAAATATTGAATTTCGCCGACGGGATGACTTTCGATAATTTATCATTGCTTTATTCCCCATCCAAACAACCTTCATTTATTTATTTATTCATTTCGATGAACACCCATTTGATGGGATGTCAATTAACCTTGGAATACTTTTTATCCTTGACAACAAATAATATTTAATTAACGGGAAATTCACAGTTTCGTTGGTACAAATGATTTCTTGCGTGTGATACAAAGCGTACGATTGAAATGCCGATAGTTTCGCGCAGCAAGAAATACCGTGAAATACCGCTTAAGTAATATGACATCCATTAACATATGTGGTAATAACGCACATGAGTTAATCGTAAACTATCGTTTATTTCATTGAAATCAATTGCATTTGAAGTATCCGATTGAGGAATTATAGCCCTGATTGGGTTCCCTCACAAGACGATCGGAGAAAAAGGTTATTAAAATAAAAGTTTTTATATAAACAAGAAATTTTTTTCAACTTCGAAAATGTTTATGACACATTTTCTACGAGAAAGGAAATTTTTGGGGGAATTCATCTTATAATTTTACGGTTTTTTATGGTAAAAA